GTTCAAGAAATACATATTTATGATACAACACGTAAAAATCGAAATAAAATTCTTGAAACTTTTATCAAAGAGCGTGAGTTTTTGTCCGTTTTCACTACGAACTGCTGAGCTACACACTTCCGTTACAAGTTTTGATTTTTGAACGTCAAAACCGATAAGGTTAATATACTGGCTTTCGTTTCTGCATACAAAAACTCTAAAACATTGCGTAGAAATGTGACTGACTGAATGGATATTTAAAACGAGTATCTATTTCATGAAATAATGGGCCGTGTTTCATCTTTCAGACACTGATAATGGATAATGGAAATGGACCGCCCGCCCGCGTGTAATTTGAAATAAGGGCCGGACGCGAAACTAAAGTCTAATTTGGAGTGGCCCAATGGTTGTAGCAAAAACTTCATATACGTATTATGTTAAGTATGTATTCTTCGGTGAATACCTCTGTTAAATGGGGGTTGTCCAATGCTTTTGCATCGATTCGGGTCGTACAAGTTGTAAAATTCACCTAATTTGATAGTATACAGGTGGCGATAGTTAGGGTATTAAGAGGTAGAGTGTCCCAATTATATTATGCGTGGTTTTTAAAAGGCCATTAAATTTTAAATGGAAGTCAATATTTTTTTCCATGTTCAATTATGTGTGCCAGGGTTTTGAAAGAACCAGGCAATTCTATATATGTATTCCTTATAATATTTGATCCGCTTAAAAGAACGAGGCAATTATGTATATTTTTGTTGAGTTGCAACAGCGTTGCCGCCGTTGCGGGGGTTAATATGGAAAGTCCATATTTTTTAGTCAATTCTGCGTGCGTTTGGAAGAACTGAGGCAATTCCATATCCCTTATAAGATTTGATCCGGCCTCTTAAAAGAACGCCGGCAATTAAATATATATATTATTGTTGAGTTGTGGGTGAATTATGGACAGTCAATATTTTCCATGTTCAATTCTGTGAGGTTTTGAACTAAGAACGAGGCAATTCTATATGTATTCCTAATGAAATAATATTTTATCTGTGCCTGTGGTATTGAGGTTTCGTGACGAGCTCGCCATCGCGTTTCCCCTAAATCGCTCACGTTTTAAACCTCATTTTATTCAACTGTTATTAAGCCGGTTTTCCTCTTCAAGCGTACCGTACCGAAACGCATCAAAAACGTTTTTAAATTTCAAAATTTCGTGAATATTGATTGGTTAGTACTTCCGTAGTACGCCAAAATCTTTTTATTTTGATACGCGAATACACCCGGAAGTACGTGGATTTATAAACCTCTTTTCAATCTGCGCATGCTCACCAGTACGTTTCGGTACGATACGGGCGAAGCGGAAAACCGGCTTTACTTCATTGACATTGCACGTATATGACACATATTAAGATAACTATACATCTTATCTTTGATTTGGATGGATTAAAGTTTAACCCTTTCACGAACCCTCTTGTGTCTGATTTTGGTAGTTGAGGTTTGTTTATTTTAAGTCATGTTTTGAATCATTCTAATAAACATTTACATTTGAACATTAACTCTTAACGATAAAGCAAGTTCAAAATCATTCATGACTTTTGCACAGCATACTTGCATATTTTTTACCTACATTTAATATACTTTCATATTTTATTTCATTTTAACAAATTTGTAGTGAGTTTTGTTTTTTTGTAGGAAGCACAATTCAGATGGATCCTATAGTTTTGGCGGGGAAAAATTGAACGCGAAGAAAAACGTCAATCTTAAATAGGGGGCATCCATTTAGTACGTACGCAAGCAGAGGGGGGGGGGGGGGGGGGTATGACC